GTTTGTTCCCGCCCTTCACTCGGACAGAACATCGTTGATCCCCCTTCTCTCCTTCAATTCGGGGTCCATTTAGCCAGTCTGCAAGTGGGGCTTCGCTTCCTGCTGCATAATGCCCATTTAAGCGTCATGGGCTATTATGGGGTGATTCCGGGTCAATTTTCCCCAACTTCTCACATGTTCATCGCTACATTCATCGCCTGATGCCTTCATTTGGGAATTCGCCCGGCGATCAATCTTTTCCTCTATTTCTTACACTCTGTGAGACCCGGCGCCTCTGAATCCCCAGGTTATCTTTCGATTTCCCAACGGGCTGGCCACCGCTTATTCGAAGCCAAGTCCTACCCTGACTCCTTCAAAGGTTGGAGACAAAAATGGGTCTGGATTACCCCTGCAAATGGCAAACTCCAGTTCACGAACAAATGGGGGGAATTAATCCGGAAGTGGGCAATGTTGTTCTTATCGGAGGGGAATGCTGAGGCCGCCAGATCGATCGTTGATGGGGCACCCTTCCTGATGGGGCACTACGTAGGTGAGGAAGGGGTGGTAGTGCTTACATTCTTTCCAGGTCGGCCTTGCCTGGTATGGCGTCTATTTTCTTTTCCTTATGTTCTTTTTTCCCTGACATTTCTTGTGCTTTGTTACAACGAGTGATAAGATGGCTTCCCGGCTGGAACGACTCGCTATGAAGGCTGGCGCCACTCCTGGTCCTCTGGTTCCTCTCAGGAAAATCCAGACTCGGGGGCCTATGGGGCTGCCTTAGAGAAATCAGGGGGATCGATCCCTGGAGACAGTGTTGGGACCCTGAATACGCCGGCCGTTAACCCTCAGCCCTTAGCTGTTAAAGGGGCTGGGAAGAGGTCGGCACTCCAACCTGTCTCTACGCCCAAGAAGAAAGGAAAAGTTGGCGTGGATCCCTCTGGAGATCTGGTTGAAGTGGACTCCGATTCGGATGCCCAATCTCAAGAAGGTGGCAATCAGGGGAAAAACCTGGCACATGTTCACACAGTCCGCCTTGTTATGAAATCCAGTTCTGCTTCTCTATTCCGCCATACAATAAACTCTGTGGCCCTGGGCCTGGCCGTCACTCCCCCTGTTGATGCTGAAGAGATCGGGGAATTATCGCCTAGTGCGGCTATTCGTCGTGCCATCGAATCCATATCTGAGGTACGTTCCGATCCCCATTTCCCATCATCAAACTGTGGTTCCCTGATTGTCCCTTTTCACAGTCCCGTCTTCGTTGCCTCCAGGCTTTCATCTTGACCTCCTCTGGCTCTCGTCGCCTAGATGAAGGGCAGAAAGATGCTCAGACCCTGATGGCAGGCCTTAAGGAGCAGAATGCAGATCTCGAGAGGAGGCTAGAAGCGGCGGAGCTTAGAGGGGACACGTTGCAGAGGAGGCTGACCGATATTAAGACTGCGTACTGAGTAATGGAGGAGGAGCTGAGGAGGCAGGCCCTACTGCTGTCTAGGCCTTCCGAGGAAGTGCATATTTCCTGGCTGAAGTGGAGCAGATCATTCTAAGCTGTAGGGCACAAATAGCCCAGGACTGGCTCCAGACTCCTGGGGCGAGGCTAGGCTAGACGAGGAGGGAACCCTGTGCTTTCAGCTGGGACAATACAGGATGCAAAAGTCCCTGTATGATCTCCTCCAAAAAAGAGACCCCTCCTTCTCCGCCCAAGCCTGGGGACTTCCGGAGCCGAGGGAGAATCCAGAGGCTGCTGAGGAGACCCCAGCCCTCGCTGTTCCAATCTCTGAAGTTCCTCCTGCCCAATTCGGTAACTCATCTGACTTTTAAAACACTTCTATGGACATCTTTCTCAGGCTTGCGTGCCTGCAGTTGTTTTCCACCAGTGGGGTGGTTTGTATTTCAAACATCTTTACATTATGTTCTAATTCTGCACACACCTATACATTACTGTCTTTTGACCATCTTGGCTGATTGCGTAACTCGGTCTGTTTGGTACCTTAACACTTGTTTGCGGTTTTCGGCCCTATTCGAGTTGGCTTCTTCCCTTGGATTCTTTTGTCCTCTGGGCGTCGACCTGTGCAGTTTATAAGTCCCTGGATGGCTCTTAGGCCTTCCTGATTTCTGTATTCAATCACCTATGTCCTTTGCATATTTTTACCTTGAATTCCCTGTCAAGGTCATCTTTCCTTTGTTAAGGATGACATTACCAATTTTAAACCCTTAGGCTCTCAGTAATTGAGCCAGATCGGGTGGGCTTCCTTCTAGGTTGCTTTGACCTTAGTGAGTAGCCTCTTTAATCGGCGAGGCTCTTGAGCCTCTCCGGTGCAAAGTTAATTCCTTCAATTTCATCTTTATCCTTGTAAAATCAGTCTTAACTTTGAGAAAGGTTGTCTTTTCCTGTTTGAGGAAATTTGACTTTGTTTGTAAGGTTGTTTAACCTTGAGAAAGGTTATTTTATTCCCGCTCTTGCCTTTAGAAAGACTAGTTTAATTATCAGTCCTAACCTTGATTCCATTGTTCATGTGCAAAAGTGCCTCTGTGAAAACTTTTCCATGAAAAACCTAGGGGATGCCAAGAGGATCCTAGGCATCAATATCATTAGGGATAGAAGCAAGTCTGCTCTTCTGTTAAACCAAGTTTCTTATGTAGAGAAGGTTTTGAGTAAATTCAACATGCAATCTGCTTCCCCTGTGAATGTTCCTTTAGCATCACATTTTGTGCTAAGTAAGGATTAGTCCCCCAAGATTGATTCTGAAATAAGTGATATGAAATCTATTCCTTATTCCAGTGCTATAGGATCTGTTATGTATCTTATGGTCAGTACTAGGCCTGACATTGCTTATGTTGTTAGTTGCTTGAGTCGTTTCATGTCAAATCCTGGTATGCCTCACTGGAATGCTCTGAAATGGCTTTTGAGATACCTTAAATCAACCGTGAATTATGGTTTGTTTTTTGCTAAGTGTTCTGATGGTATTGTGTTGCGTGGATATGTGGATTCTAACTATGCTAATGATAGGGATAATAGGAAGTCCACCACTTCTTATGTGTTTACTTTGTGTGGGTCCTGTATTAGTTGGAAGTCCCCGTTGCAACCCATTGTTGCCTTGTCCACTACTGAGTCTGAGTATGTTGCTGCCACTGAAGCCTTTAAGGAAGCTATTTGGCTTAAAAGGCTTGTCAGTGATCTAGGTTTTCTTAAACAGAGAATTACAGTTTTCTCAGACAGACAGTCTACCATACAGCTTTGCAAGAACCATGTGTTTCATGACAGGACCAAGCACATTGATGTCAGGTTCCGTTTCATTCGAGAAATTGTGGAGGCAGGTGATATCATGCTGGAGAAGATCCCATCAGAGTTCAACCCTGCTGATATGGGGACAAAGTGTCTCTCTGTTGAGAAGTACTTTCTTGTAAACGAACATTAAACCTGGAATGTGGTAGATATTGTTTTTTTGCAGGTGGTTTTGTCCATGGAGTGTTGTTTGCACTCCTGGACTTTGCTCTGAGAACATGGTGTTCTCTGGGCATCCGGTTTGTCCCTTTGATCCTTCTGGATCAGGAAAGTGTGCATCACACTTTTCAATTTGTGTTTCTGGATCGAGTGTGACCCAAGGAGTGTCTTTTGGATACCTCCAATTTTTGGCCTAAGATATCATTGGATGTCTTGGGCAACCAGCGATGATGAGTTTTTTCCATGTCACATTTTTGCTCTACACCACACATAGGACCATTAAGGTGGAGAATGTGAGAGGTATTGGCCCTATGGGCCTTGTCCTTCTTCTCCAATATTACTCGGGACTTGGGCCTTTACCATTTGGTTATCACCCAGCCCACTTGCTTCCTTACATGACCCACTCCTTTTTGTTCGGCCCCTTTACCCTGTTTGACCTACTTACCTTGTTGGGCTTTTTCTTGACCCGCCTATTTATTCCATTGATTTGTCTTTGCCCGGTGAGTGAGACACATACTTGTAACCCTAGTTCTAGAGCCTTCTGTTTAGAGAGAGAGAGGGTCTGGCTTCTCTCTAGCCTTTCCCCTTTTTCCGCTCCTCTCTTCACCTCCTCCGTGTGTAAGCTCTAGGGAGAGGTTTGAGAGGGTCGTTGGATTTGAGGTTTGGGTTCTGGTACCTTGGTGGTGGTTCCCGGTCCGATAGGTTCTTTTGTGGTGGTTGTGAGTTGTTTCAGAACCTTCGGGTTCGTGTGGCTGGAGACCTGAGCTGGAAGATCTATCAGCCTTACAGTTTATACGAACATTTGGTGACTATACATGATAACATGTTTAAAACCGATTTGGTAATACTTAGGATTATAGGCGGAGAATGCTTAGATCATATATACTTTTATACATCATTGAGTGATAACATTAGATCATATATACTTTTATACATCATTAAGTGAATCAGATAAAATTTTAACATCGGTGACATTTTAATCAGATAAAAATAATTCAATAATAAAAGTGACATTTTAATTTAAAAAGATGAGTAAATGAAATGTGTACAAAAATACCCTACAAAAATAACACTTTTGAAAATTGAAAGAGTTGGCTTTAAAGCCTAATTATATACGGAGTACTCCGCATAAAATTAATATGCCTGCGATGGCAATAATATACCAAGTACATATATCATAATAATAATAACAATATATAACCAAGTACATAGTACCAATGATACACATACGGTAGCCATACACCTTACACTTATGCGGAGATGCCAACAAATATGGCCAAAAAGAAATACATCATGCATATCTTTACAAATCATACACTCCCACATGGGATGCCATGTACTCAATCAATCTCTCGCAATAATTTTCTAGCTCCATAATAATTTTACTACTAGCAGCAACACTTCAATTACACACGCATGCATAATTGCATGTAAACAAAAATTAGAATACTACTCCGTATTGCACAATAGTACAACATCGGCCGTCCACACAATCATCGTATAAGCTCAAAGGATGAACTACAACCTTCAGAATACCTGTATAAATACTAGCTTCAAACTTGAGACTTTGAGAGTTCTTTCATTCACAACCAAGCATTCGAGATATATACATATACGTATATACTACTATATATACGGAAAAAACAGCCCTTCGTTTCAGCTTAAAACTAGAGCAAACACTATTAAAACCTTTTCCTCCGTTAGAGGAATCCAACAAAAGAAGAATCATTAAAAATGATCGTCAAATGAGGGGAACAAGCTCGCCGGAGTTTCGCCGGGCTAAGCTTCATAACGGGAAACGGAGGAGAAGAAGGAGCTGCCGTCGCCGCCAGTCCACTGCTGACAATTTCCTTCTTGGAAAGATTCTACTACTCCCGCCGTTCCACTCGTCAGTCATTAGAAAGGTATGTCACCGTAACTCTGCTTTTCGGCGTGTAGTTGAAGAAGAGGACACATGAAGATTGCCGATTCTTTGATTTCAACCTAAAACTGGGCCGCATAATACTATCGTACTGTATATACCTATATTTGGATTGGATCTATCTATTTAAATGAGAACTGGTTGCACTTAAGTTCTGTTGTGCGAACTGTTTGAATGAAATAACAATAACAATATAAATAATAAATAAATATAATAATAAGGATGATAATGATAACTGATTTTATTCACTTGTAATGAGTTTATCACTTTTTGATTGGGAAATTATGTAGTAATATTTTAAACTAAATTATGATTCGGCTGTTGTAGACTAAATTAAGTTAGTGGAGAACTGGAGATTGGTAAATTAAAGTAATCATACATTCGGACATCAGATTTACAAATGATCGAAATAGCTTAAATCGGATAAAGTGATAATTAACATATACGTATTAACAATTACAGGATGGGGAAATCGGATAAATAATTAAAAATAGAATTAGTGACTGATTATATCAAAAAGGTGATTACTTAAAGACCAGAATAGCAGAGGAGAATTAGAAGCATCATGTTCATGTAAGTTTTTCTGTCAATCCAATATCGTTTCCTCGTATTATATATGTATAATGTGATACGTGATTTTAATGTGAGTTTTGATGTATATGCATGTGATTTTGAGATTTGTTCGATCTGTGATATTTGAGAAGTGAAACTAAGTGCTTTTGGATATTAAATATTTTATTTAAATATTTTCGAGCCAGTTTGAGAAATTGAGGAATACTTTGAAGTATATTAAATCAAGATAAAAGAATGATTTCATAAAAAGTGAGCACCACGGGAGGAATCCGTGGTGTCGGTTTTCCACATCCGGATAAATGTGGAGGGTGATTAGAGAGACTAGTACTAAGAAGTACAGTTTGAGTAACTCTCGGATCGATGATCCCTTTTAAGAAGGAGAGTTGTGGTAGTAGTAGTAGTTCCGACGTAAAAGGGCTGATACTGCTAAGGGTGAGGATAAGTTTTGAGTGATAATTGGATCAATGATCCCTTTTAAGAAGTAGAGTTATAGTAGTAGTCCCTAATCATTCAAGAAGTTTAAAGGTGGGGTGGTTGGGTTCCGACCACTCGGGATGACTTACTACTCGGAGGACTTGGAATCCCTTTTAGGGGGTGTGCACACTTAAGGTAGTCGTTTCGTTTCCGCAAGAGCCGTTGTGGTACCGGACTACCGGCACTTGTTCAGGGTGGTCGTCCGTAACCACGGTCCACCGGGCTCAGTCGAAAGGTTGAGCACCACCCTTCTAAATTACTAAGAAGTTAGAGAAGAAGTGTTTTAGTAAAGAAGTGGTTTTGAAAAAAATCAAAGTGAAAAGGATTTTAATGGAGTGTGTTGTTTTTATATAGTATAAAAAACTATTTTCACCAAACCTGATTATTTTACGGGGTTGGGTAGTACTTACTTAGCTCTAAAGCTAATTTTTGTTTTCTTTCTTTTGTATTGTTTCTGCACTTTATTTGTGCAGGTGATGATGAATATGTTGATTGTTGAATTCATGCGCCTGAGAGCGAATTAGAAGTTGCTTTAGTTAAATATAGTCATGAAATAAACATTTATTTATTAGTTTTTATTGTTTTGTTTTAGTTGCCTGTGCATCCGGTAGAGAGATGATCGGATGTGGCGGTAACACCCATTTCCCTATTTTAGACTTCCGCTGTAATTCTTCAACTCTTTGATGAATGAATAAAGTATTTCTTTTAACTATATTGATGGATAGTGTACCCGGGGGTAGCTTATCTGAGGGGTTATTACGGGGAATAACTAGAGAGAAGTCAGAGCAAATGAGTATAGAGAGAGAAAGTATATTAGAAAGTATTCAGTGTTTTCAGCGTGTTGTGTCTTGGTTACAAATGGGGAAATGGGGTGCTATTTATAGTAGTAATAAATGTCGGACAGGGACACGTGTCAAGCACCCATTGGCCGAGAGGTCACCTCAACTGGTTGGCGCTGGCAAACGCATGTGGCCGCATTTAATGCGACTGTTGGATGTGACGTCGTACTTGGTACGGTGATCTACACGCATGTGGAGCGGATATTATGTCGGAAAAGGTCCCCTCGGCTGTAGATGATTAGCCGAGGGCTCTGAGTACCAGGGACTTCCTTAGTGCCGAGGGCTCTAGGTGCCGAGGGCTACTGATTTTTGCCATTTTTTCCAGTAACTTTGTTTTCCTGTTTTGACCCTCCTGTGAGAATCAGAGCCTTCGGCCAGGGGGCGAAGGCACCCCTGGTGCGCATTGTGGGCTGCTTGGTACTCTGGGCGCCGTGATTTGGGTCTGTTGTGCTTCCTGGGCCTATTGGGCCTTTATTGGAGTAGTAGGAGTCTATGGACCGAGGGTTCCCGAGCCATATACTCCATCAGGAGTCCCTCACTCCTTTTGCCGAAAGGTACTTGAGGGAAAAGGAGTAATTGTGTTTGTCCTCGACCGTTGTCCCGTTGTAGTTTGTAGAGCTGTGGGTAGTTTGTTGTCTGTTTATTCTGCCGAGGGCACTCCCTCAGTTACCCACATGTCGGGATTTGAGGGGTCATGTTTGTGATTTTTCCCGAGGGGGGTTCTCCAGTCCCCCACTCCTTGAGGCACTTGCAAAGTGGTGAAAAGGAGTAGAGTAATCGCGTTGTTGTTTTGGGCCAAAGGCTGACGTTTTTCGTTTCATTTTGGGGGGATGCCTCGTTAAAAAACCTCATTAGGAAAAACCCTTTGGGAAAAAATCCTAATGAGGGAAAAAGAGTGCACCGAATTCCCCCAAGGATGAATCGAAAATGTGTAGTCCTGGTTCGAAATGGAGTACAATGCTGATGTCGAAGGCTGTCCTTGTTCTGAGGGCGCATGTGTTGATCTGCCGGAGGCTTGCTGTTGATATCCTAGGAGGTGCCGAAGGGGAGTCCCTCAATCTGGGGACCGAGGGCGTCATGAGTGTGAGTAGCAGTTGAAGTGTTACCGGGGTGTCCCCTGTTTGTTGTTTAGTTGGTGAGGAGGGTATCTGAGGGCTCCCGTTACCTGTGCGCCGTAGGCTATCTGTCAATGAGGCGTACTCCCCGGGGGCTACCCGGCCCTCAAAGTGCTGAGAGGGGATCCCCGAGGGGTGTGCCTGTTATGAAGCCGTGGGCTTCTGAGGGGGTGAGTGTAACACCCCGGCCCCGTAGGCCCCGAGGTAGTTACTTCTGACCTCTAGTACTGTCCTCACAAACCGCCACTAGCCTTTTCCGCGCACTTTGTCCTCACTCGTGCGCGCCCTGAGAAACTTCCCAGGGGGTCACCCATCCCAAGACTACTCCCGTGCAAGCACGCTTAACTTTGCAGTTCTTGGGTGATGAGCTCCCTTAAAAGGAGATGCACCTCTGTTGGTATGAGTAGTACTATTAATCCGTTTAAATTAAATCTCAAGTGTTACAATCACCCCCACTTAGGAACGCAACGTCCTCGTTGCGCCCATAAACCAATCTCAATCATATCCCAGAATCTTTTCCCCTGCTAAGTGCCCGCCCGATATCCAACGGATCAGCACACTGTCGCAGGGTTGCTCTGATACCATTTGTAACACCCCGGCCCCGTAGGCCCCGAGGTAGTTACTTCTGACCTCTAGTACTGTCCTCACAAACCGCCACTAGCCTTTTCCGCGCACTTTGTCCTCACTCGTGCGCGCCCTGAGAAACTTCCCAGGGGGTCACCCATCCCAAGACTACTCCCGTGCAAGCACGCTTAACTTTGGAGTTCTTGGGTGATGAGCTCCCTTAAAAGGAGATGCACCTCTGTTGGTATGAGTAGTACTATTAATCCGTTTAAATTAAATCTCAAGTGTTACAGTGAGCCCGAAGGTATTTGTTATGTAGTGTGTGGGGCACAAACCGGGAGCGTCTCTGGGTAAGTGTACCCGGGGGCTCTCCTTGATGAAGTGATGCGAAGTAAAAAGCCCGGGGGCTAGTTTCTTGGTTGATGAAGGAGTGGTCTGTCAAGTGTAGCCGGGAGCTCCCAGAATATAGCCGTTGGAAATATAGCCGTTGGAATATCTAACGTCAGAATGTAGCTGTTGGGAGGGGGCTTCCACGTGGTGTTTGCTCGTTGGCTGTCCGCAGGCAGGCGTCACTGATTGGGCAACAACGTCGGTTGGTAATGATGATTTTGTACTGGAGGCCCGACACTCAGGCCCAAGCCCGTATTTGGGCGCCTATAAATACCCCATGGCCGGCTTCACTTCCCTTGCGCGATATCATTGTAGCGAAGCTCTGCCCAAATTCCTAGAGAGAGAAACAACTGCCTTCGATCTAACTCCCGTTTCAAGGTCAGTTCCTCACTTGTCCTCCACCCCTGTTACCTAGCTGTGCTTAGCGGCCTTAGGACTTATACTTAGGAATTTTAGCTTAGAGCACTTAGTATATTCGAGCCCTCGAACTAGCACAGACGATGTCTTCACAAAGCGACTCTCAAGACATCTCGGGGGCGCCCTCGATGGAGGAGGGAATCATCTCGGACGTGGAGTCCATAAGCGAGCAGCCCTCAGTGGGACAAGATGTCGTCGTAGCGATGGAGCTGCAGAAAGCCCTCGTCGCCGAGGCGGAGGCCGAGGGTTTTGAACTAGAATGCGAGGAAGAAGAGCTGGCCCTCGCCTGGCAAGTAGCTGAGGAAGAGGCGCAGAAAGAGGGCGCGAGGGTCACCGTCGCTGTTCTCCCCCCTCGGGGCACTGGTGAGGCCAGCACTTCTCGACCGCTGAACGCGGTTCCCATCCGGATGGCCCCCGGAAAAAAAGAGGGCGAAGGTAGCTGCTTCCAAGAAGAAGGGCAGCGTCGCAGATCAAGGGAAGTCCCTCGATATTCCCGAGGGGTACTCCTACCTGAATACCACCGCCTTAGAGATAAGGTCGAAAGCTGATGAGGCGGAGCTCTACGTCACCCAGTTACACGTGGGTCCCTCGGCCGTAGTGATGCCGCCGGGTCCCGATGACATCCTCTCTCGGGCTCCCGAGGGCTGCATTGCGGTGCACTAGTTGCAAATGGCCGGGGGCACTATGTGCTGCCGGCACCGAGAGGTGGCGCCTTCGGTATAGGCGTCCTCGAGGGGTACGGCTTTTAGAAACATTACTTGGTGTTTGTTCCGATTTACGGCCCCCAGTACTTGGTACCGAGGGGTCTTCTGTGAAAACACTTGGTGTTTTTTCTTCATTTGTCGCAGGTGATTGTGTTGTCTACCCTCGGTACTTGGTACTGAGGGGTCTTCTGTGGAAACACTTGGTGTTTCTTCCCATTTGTTGAAAGTTGTCAGTGGTGTGTCCCCCGGCACCGGGTGCCGAGGGGTCTCTATTTGAGGACAATTGGTACTCTTTTTTTTTGCTGTTGTAGGTGATAGTATTGTCTACCCTCGGCACTTGGTGCCGAGGGTTCTTCCTTGTGGTAAGGACTTGGGCCAGGGGGTGATATGAGGGCTTGGCCCTTCGTAGGAATCCTGTTCCATGTTCTTGGTGTCTTCAAAATTCCTTCATTCTTCAGAATTTTTAGGCCCTGGGCCGTAAAATATTACATTCTCTA